TATACTGCTGCCCCCGCGACCCGGCCCCGGATAAGCGGAAGAAAATGGATGGATGGATGGATGGGTTCATGTGTTTTTTCCAGCTTTCACAGCTTGAATCATTTATATTATATACAAGAACAACACAATGATTTAAATGTTATTTGTTATAGTAAGATTTGACCATATTTTTCGTCACGTTTATAAACAATGCAGAAAATTCCAAACGGTTAATTTACTTTTTGTCTCTTTATGTTTGATATGGTGAGATAATAAACTTATGTTTTCAAAATCAGTATTTGTGTTTGCCCTAGAACATCCTTCATATGTGATTTAAAAAGCAGTAATTTGGCAGCGCTTTCATGCCTCTGCTTTATTCAGGTTTATAATAGCACAGGTGTGTGCATGAACTGAGCTCCCCCTTATGTCATCTCTTATGTTTCTTCTCCTAAATGTGTTTGCCACAAGGTCTTTCTGTTCTGACAACAGCTGTTCTGTTCTGTGGTGCTGGTCTCTGTTCAGGCAGAGCATGACTCACATCTACTCAAGCAGCTGGAGAGGAACTCACTGATGTGGTGCTGCTTGCACAGGGGATTCCCTTTCTTTGCCACAAGGTTGTGCTGACTACATTCAGCCCTCACTCCCAGGTAAAGTGGACTTGCACAGATGTATTGAAAGTTATTGTGCTCATATGGTAAAATACGATATAGTGTGACCACGTTGCTGTACTGTAGATGATAATATTACACTGTACTTGCTTCAGATAACTATATACCTAGTACAGAGTATCCACATGCCAGTATTGTTGGTCCTTGGCTCCCTTTTGTGTATGTCTTCCCATAGTGGTAAGACCTAAAATAAATATCTGTCAGAGTCAGAATCAGCTTTATTGGCCAGGTGTGTTGAACACAAGAGGAATTTGCCTCTGGTACAGTGGCTCTCATTGTGTATGTACACTGTTCTTCTGTAAGGCAACGAGAAGACAAGTAAAATAAGACTGAGAACAAAAAAGAAAGAAAACGAATGCGCATTAGGAAAATAAAGTACATATATTTTAAATGTCTTTATTTTGTTTATTTTGCTTTTTTTATGCATATTGTGTGCTATGTATATGGCTATCTTTTAATTGCTTATTTACTATGATGACTATAAAAATACTGAGCTATGCAGCAGTGTTTTGAAAATACATGGCTCTCCTTGTTTATATTGTTTATATTTGTCAGGTTTGCCCGGCTGCCCCTGCCTCTCTCACTTCTCTCCCTCTATTTTAGCTCCCTTACCCCTGATTTCTTTATCTGACACACCTGCTTCACGTCCCCTGAATCACCACCAGCTGCACCTGATTAGTTTCTCCCTATTTATACCGTGCACATCGTCCACTTCCCTGCCAGTTCTTTCTAGACTCTAGCCCGTTTCTATGCCGATCTATTAGTTTGTCCACTATATGTATTTGCTCACGCTCTTCATCTCATCTCAGCTCTGTTCCTGCCTTGTGCCCCGTGATCTCATCTCAGCTCTGTTTCTGCCTTGTGCCCCGTGTATTGTCTTCCCAGCCGCTATCGCTCCTTCAGACCACGGACCTCCACGTCACTCCACATCACTCCACCACGCAGGTCGATGCACAGTCTCCCATTAACTGTTACTGACTGTCCCCTCAGCAACCAACCACCACGACCAGTCCAGGAGTGAATCCTAGCGTCCGCAGCCCGGCCTCTTCCTCATCAACCCACCACTAACTGTATGTTTTCCCGGACTGCCGCTCGACACCCGGTTCTCCTCCTTATTCCTTCACCTGGTTGTACACGTATTTTCACTGTAAATAAACAGAGCACTTCTTGCACCGAAGTCAGCTACCTGGGTCCGTCATTTTTTACTCGCTCACCTCCCTACCAGAGCGTTTCTAACAATACTGGTGTTGTTTTGTATTATGTAATCCCTTAAGTGGGTAGTGGTGGAAGAAGTACAGAATTCTGTGTTCTGCATTCAAAATGTTAAGTAAAAGTACAAAGGTTTTAGCATCAAAATATCAGAAGTAAACATACTATGAAAAATAGCACATTTCATTTTAATATATATCATTTTATTGCATTATAATTATGAATGCATTATTGTGTATATCACATTTAATGTTGCAGCTGGTAAAGGTGGAGGTAATTTTAACTGCCTTGTGTTTATAATTTCATATACAGTACTGCTGAACAACTTGTGAATTTCCCACCAGGGATCAATAAAGTGTTATGATTATACTCTACTTTTCAGATGAACTGTACACAATAAAGTTATCAAAGAAATGGAGTGGAGTAAACAGTACTTCTTTCCACCACTGTAAGTGGGGTTGCCATGTCCTGTCTTTATTTAACTTTGCGTGTTCACTTGAATATTGGCCTGACAAAGGTCATGTTGGTTGAAATGTTGTAATAAAAATGAATATATTATTTGGGAGTATGTTTATTTCACTGCATGCGCAGTCTCTTTTTTTATCTTTGACAGAGATATGGGACAGGTCAGAGCAGGGGCACTGGCACGAGATAACAACATAGCAGCGGCCATAGAGACAGAAAGCCAACAAGGAGTGAATGGGACTGCATTCTGAGCTGCCTGTTTATGGTTCAGATTTGATAATTCAGAGGAGAACAGTTGGCTGGCGTTGTGCTTAGCGCCATACAGGGATATGCATGCTCTGTGGAGATCTATAACCCAGATACAGACCCCTGGAGTGTGGGACTGTTGGGGTATGTCTCTACCAGCTTTACACATCCAGAGGCTGTAATTTTTGCCCATTCTTCTTTACAAAATAGCTCCAGTTCAGTCAGATTGGATGACAAGCATCTGTGAACAGCAATTTTCAAGTCTTGCCACAGCAGGACAATGACCCTAAACATACAGCTACAATGGAATGGTTTAGATCAAAGTGTATTCATGTGTTAGAATGGTCCAGTCAAAGCCTAGACCTAAATTCTGTTGCAAATCTGTGGCAAGACTTGAAAATTGCTGTTCACAGACACTCTCCATCCAATCTGATTGAACTGGAGCTATTTTGTAAAGAAGAATGGGCAAAAATTGCATTGTCTAGATGTGCAAAGCTGGTAAAGACATACCCCAAAAGATTTGCAGCTGTAATTGCAGCAAAAGTTGCTTTGACAAAGTATTGGCTCAGGGGGGGCTGAATACATATGCACGCCACACTCTTCATCATGTATCATTTTCCTTCCACTTTACAATTATGTGATACCTTTTGTTGGTCTATCAAATAAAATCCCAGTAAAATACATTTAAGTTTGTGGTTGTAACATGACAAAATGTGGAAAGTTCCCAAAGAAAATGACCAATATGACCTTTACAAAAATTAGTCACATGAATGTTTTTTCTCTTTCTGTCTTTTTTGCTGCTTATGGAAGTTTGATTACATGCAAATTTAATTAACTACATGCAAATGCAGTTTCTGGTGTCTTTTCAACATTTTATTATGCTTCTGTCACTTTTTCTGATGAAAGACAGTTATTTGTTGCATGAGCACACAGGGTCAGAAAAACCTGTATTTCCCCTTTACAAGGAAATACATTGGTAATAAGGATTTTTGGGTTGTAAAGCTGTTACCCCATTGATGAACTTTCCAAATGATCTTAATTTGTTCTTTAAACATTTCGAATGAAGTTACATTTAAATTATTAATGGATTACTGTAGTTTTATTAGCCACAATTACAAAGTCACTGCTTCCTCTCAGTTTCTTTTCTTTTCCAGGATTTTTTTCCCCCCTGCTCACCTCATAGAAAAGTACCAAACGTGATGGATGTAGTGTAGAGTGTCTGACCTGCATGACATACCAATACCATACATGTCTTCATACCTTTCTCTTGCTGTTGATCCGGTCAAGTCTGCGCCGTCGGAAAGCCCAAATTGAAGGCTACTCCTGACAGGTGCTCACAGTGCGCAGAGAGGATGGGCAGACGAGAAGCACACAGCAGAGCCACAATGAAAACCAGCGACCGCCCCGAGCTCGGCTGTCCGCAGGACGCAGCATTCACCGGTCACTGTGCCAGTGTGGAGTCTCCGAGGCTGGACAGCCACCATCCCTGCAGCACGGACATGCCTCAGAGAGACCGAGACATGGAGACGGTGGACCGGCCACCGAGTGCTACAGCGCCAATGGAAGTGAAGAAGCACCATCACAAACACAACTTGAAACACCGCTATGAGGTGATGGAGACTCTAGGGAAAGGCACATACGGGAAAGTGAAGAGGGCGGTAGAGAGAGCAAGCCTAAAGACGGTGAGCCATGTGTTGTTGAGCATGATGCAAAATATTGTTGTAACCTTTCCACTGTTATGCGTCTCAAAGATGCCATCTTTTCTAGCCTATAATATTTAACACGCGGAGTGAAATGTAAATAGCTCGCTGACCGGTAAATAGACTATTGTGGCGCTCATCTGGTTCGGATGAGCGGAGCTGGCCTGACCCTATCCTAAACTGTGATGAACCTGATTCTGAAAGCATCACCTACAAAAAGCTTTATTGACATAATTAGATATGCTTATGCAAGATTTCCTGCTTGTGTGTGTGTGTGTGTGTGTAGGTGTGGCGACCCAGGTGGTAGGTTGATGTTGACGATTGTGTATTAAATACTAATTTGGAGGTGGAGTGGAATGTGTGTGTCTGTGGGTGTGTTTGTGGGTGAGCTCATGGACTGATGCTGAACCCAGATCTTGCACCCTGCTGCCAGGCTGAGATGCCTTTGGTCTGACTCACTCAGCACTTGAACAAGTGGATAAAATTACTACAATAGGTCTCCTCGCCTGACCCCCTCTACCAGCAACCGAGTGAAACACATTCATACACCAGCACATCAACACAGGCACACTGAGAGAGACATGTTTCTGTTAAACTTTACATTCTAAATATCCACCATGTGTGAAAAAAGAGGGCAGAAAAACAGAGTGGAGGATAGGAGATGAATGGAAAAATATACAGACGGAAGGAAGCTCTGTGTGTGTGTGTGTGTGTGTGTGTATGCAGGGTCAGTGGGCTTGTTGGACAAGGGGAAAATGCTAAATTCCTCAAGCCAGTTGCCAGCACATACCAAGAATTCTTTGAAACACAACAGACATTATTTTTGGAAACAAGACCTAAAAACATACACCAGTTGCTTGTTTTGTTATTTTCTGCTAAATTAAACAGGCTGTTCTGAGAAAAACTTGTTTTTCTGGGAAATTCACCTGTTTGCTCTCTTGCCAAGAGTTAAATGTGAAGACTGATATCACACTCATCTGTGTTTACATAGTTGAAGACTGAATAGCTTTGCATTAGTACTGGAAATGGTGGGGCGGTGGGGGGGAGGTGTGGGGGCTGTCCTTGGGCAACAAAATCTAACCACCAGCAATGCTAAGGGCTGGTAACAGAAAAGAAACAGATTGTGCGATGCGTGGTTCAACCATGTTGGAAGTCTGAATGGCCACACTCAAGTGCAGAAAAGCCAGGTGTTGTAGAGAGAGGGGAAACGCAGTATCGTTTAAATATGGGGATAACAGTGCATTATTCTAGGCAGTCTCTCCAGGGGGACATTCACTGTTGCATTTGATTGTTCATGTGAAAAGTGATAGAAGTAGGAATAGTACTGAGAAAGAAAAAAGAAAACTGGAGGTGGGGCATCTGTCCCTGATTTCTCACGGTTGAAGTCAGTAAGAGACAGAAATGGTTGGGCACAGACCCAACCAGCCATCTGACTTCTGATGGAGTGTTATGACCTCTTAAAGCTTGGTAATTAACATGTGATGTCTGTTTAATTTGTACAAAAAGATCAGTGGAATAAGAATAATGTGTGGTTTTACAGGAGTATATGTGATGGAATACTTCACGGCCAGGGGAAGTGACTTCCTGAAGTCACCAGAAGAAGCTCCAGAAGTCATTGACCTGGCCAAGCACATAACCCTCCCATTAAACCACATACTGACAGTTTTACACTAATGGTCTTAGTCCAGATTTAACAAACAAAATATAATGTGCTCATTACTGAGTTTAAAAGGTGGTGGTTGGACTTTGTCTTTGGAGAAAGCCGGGCTGGTTTTTTCTACTCTTAAGCCAAGCTGACCAGCTGGCGGCTTCGTACTGAACTGTGTATTTTTCAAAATGCCACACTTTTGCTTTATGGGTACATGTGGGTGCCTGTGCCGAATCAATACGTTGAATACATTGTGGAGCCCTGCTCCCATCTGATCGCCATTCATCAGTGCATGGCACCCTTCTGAAGTTCCTGCTCATGGAAAGTGACAGTGTATGTAGCTAGATGGTGAGGTCAAGTGTCTAGTTGGCACGGATCATGTATGTGTCCATTCATTATCTATACCACTTATCCAAAAGAGGGCCATGGGGGAGCTGGAACCATTTCCAGCTGACACTGGATGAGAGACGGGGTCCACCCGGGACAGGTTGCCAGTCTATCACAGGGCTGACATGTAGACAGACAACCACACACATTCACACTCACTCCTAGGGGCAATATAGAGTCACCAATCAACCTAAGCTGTATGTCTCTGGACTGTGGGAGGAAGCCAGAATACCCAGAGAGAACCAATGCAGGCACAGGGAGAACATGCAAACTCCACACAGGAAGGCCCCGGGTCGACCAGGGCTCGAACCTGGAATCTTCTTTGGGTCCTGTATAATCCTGCTGTTAAATCTTTCTTAGATGCAGCAGGGATCTTTAGTGATACTTAGGCTTGTGTGTGTTTGTGTGTACATCCTAAGGACCAGTTTGAGTTGCATGTGCATGTCCTCACACCAATAGCTGCACAAACATGTGATTGTGTACATGTGCATGAGTTAATCTACACAGATTATAAAATATTGTAAAAGAGTATTTGATTGCATCTGCATGACTTCTGCAGTAAACATAAGTAGCTACTTAGATTTCCTAAAGCTAGTTTGACGTTTTTTGGCCAATATCTTTCTCACAGCACATTGTGAGAAATGATACCTTGTTTGTGAGAAGGACACTCTCGAGGCCATACTTAAACATCATACTTATGCAGCATATTTACATCCACAGTGGTGAAATCACATGCACAATCACACACCCTTCCTCCTCACACACATGCCTGTAAAATGCTCTTAGTGCCTTGAAGGGCAAGCAATACCCAGACTGTGTTTCTCTTCTCTGTGCTCTGCTGATCAGACCTTAATGCCAAGTCTGCGAGGGGCATAGAGTTACAGTACAATACAAATCTTTGACATACTTCTTTATCTATTCCTTTCACCTGTTCTGTTAGTCTCCTACATCCTACCTCTTCATCCCTGCAGCTTATTTCATATTCTTCCTTTTTACATTCTCACATTGCTTTCCCACCTGCAGGTATTGGGTGAGGAAAACATTCACAGGCATAAAAGTATCCACATATTAATAGCTCCCCATGCTTGGACATGCACCATTCAGATGACAACCACTGTGTGGCTAATTTGCGGCTCAGCACCCAGGTCCTCTGGACTATGTGAGCTGCCCCATCAGTCTGGAGTGATGGTGAAATGAGAAAAAAACATTCTCATACAGTATGCTGAAAGTCTAATTATAGAAAAGATGCAAACCTAAAAATAAATAAATAAAAAGCATTTCCATTGCTGGACAGCATCACATCAGCTGAATAAGGTCAGATCAGATCCTGGAATTCCCTGGAGTGCATTTGTGTTGTGTTGCATAACTGTTGCGGTTGATAGAGCGTGTGAATTGTGGTGTGCAGTGTCTTGTAGCGGGTTTTTCCAGCAGCTGAGAATGCTGGGGCTGTGACCCAGAGCAGAGGCCAGCTTGCCCATAGGGCTATGTTAGAATATCAACCTCACAAAGTTGTCCTGCAGCCTCAACAACACATTATAAAACATTTCTCGCTGTTTTGTTGTCCTTTTTGAGTGTATAGTATTGCTGAACAGGACACCCTCATGTCTGTTTATTTGCCATGCTTGTCATTTTAGATGTTGTTGTGGTGACAGTTATCCAGTGAGTTTTTGGGGCTCATGGTGGGGTTTCTGTTTTGGGGTTTGATGGTTGGGGGTTACACCAAGGTACAGTGTGAGAATAGATTTTAAGTAGCTGATTTTTGTTTATAAGACATTAAATGGTCTAGCTCCACTTTATTTAGGTGAATTATTGCAGTGGCACAGGCCTCCAGGATCCCTTAGATCATCAAACCAGCTTATCTTAGTGGTTCCAAAGGGTCAGACTTAAAGCTGTATACAGCTTAAATACTGTATATTTTATTGATTTATGATTTTGAGTTTTTGTGAAGCATTTTGGTCAACTGGATGTTGTTTTAAAGGTGCTGTAGAAATAAATTTTGATTAGATTAGATTTAAGGAAGCAGAGGGTGAATAGTGCAGCCATCAGCCTTATGCCCCTGAGCATGCTCAGTTCACTGGAGGCCTGCTCTGCCTTTAAAACCCACATAATCACCTTTAATACCCAGAGATTTGATTTGTTTGTCTGTATGTGTAATTCTATCAACAGTATGTATTTGTGTCTCTATTTCAATGTATGCGATCTTGTGCACGCACTGTTTATCAGTGTTGAATTGAGGTTTTGTGAGGGTGGTGAAGGGGGGTATAAGTAAACTTGTAGGTTTGCAAAGGAATTAATTAAAAAGGAGTCTGTGTTTGCTGGCACCAGATATTCTGTGAAAATGGACAACAGTCACTATGGTAACGACAGTCCCCTGATGACCTAATGCTGTTTTCTGCTGTGGAATCAGATTTCATCGTTGTCAACGATCAACACTTGGTTACTGGAGCGGTCAAAATATGTGTTAATTGAACATTAAGCTTCATATAACATGTATTGACTCAGCAGTTTGTCGTTTTTCTCAGGTGGCAATCAAGTCAATCCGCAAGGAGCACATCACCAATGATCTGGACAGAATTCACATCCAGAGAGAGATTGAGATCATCTCCTCACTCAGGCACTGCAACATTATACGCTTCTATGAGGGTAAGATGCAAACAGATGCTCACACACATACACACACGCATCACACACAAATTCTTAACATCATTGTAAATTATTACTTAGTCCAGTCGCAGATGGATTTTTGGGCTCTAAATGCTTTAATGAAGGCTGCATGAGACTAGTGTCATGCAAATTTAGTTCACAGGGACTTACATTACAGATTAGTAGAGCTGGGAAAGCAAAATGGGTGTTGTACTCCTTCACCACATCAGTCATAACCATCCAACCTACACAGCAGAGTTTGCAGGAGTGATGTGCAATGCCGATTTGCTGTCAATAGACAAAAACATCTTATAATTGTCAGCAAATCTCATTTAAAGATCAAAATAAACACTGAACTGATTCCTTGTGCATCCAAAGGCTGATATTCTTATTCTTATTAAAATTCCATCAGTGTGCCACAACGTTGTACCACAACTGGACTTCTTACAACTATTTGAGTAACATCTGTTAAATGTTACACTGCCCAGCTAAACACAGTGATGATAGATGGGCTAACACATTATCTTATGTGATTTGATAATGATTACAAAAATATAGAATGTCACCAGCCTTATTCTTTCAAATGAGTCTAATCCATTATTACAGTTTATGCCAAATCACACTGATTACACTGACCCATACATTTGAAGCCTTGTAGCATCTTGATTATTAATATCTTCATTTCTATATATACAGAAGAGCAAATCTTATTGTTATTTAGTAAAGATTTGTGGTTCTAGAAATGTGTCTTGTGTCCCATGCAGTGTTTGAGAGCCGGGATAAGATCGTGATAGTGATGGAGTATGCCAGCAGAGGAGAGCTATACGATTACATCCAGGAGAGGAGGAGACTGCCAGAAACAGAAGCCAGAGGCATCTTCAGACAAATAACATCTGCAGTCCACTACTGCCATAAGGTTCACACACACTTACTATACAGTGGAAATGGATCACAAGAATTCAGTAGAAATGAGGATGCCACATGTAGACACGTGCTGAATTTTTTTGCTGTGGTATTCAGCTGTGTACCAGCAAATACAGACACTCTGAATCCTCTAAACCCTAATCCCAATCCTAATCCTGCACAAAACCTTGACTTGAGTTGTCAGATCTCTCTGGGTTAAAAGCGCATTATGTCCTGGTTGTTTTTTACAGTCACACACTGACACATTTAATAAACACATTCTGTTCGCATTCACATGTAAGCCCGGTCAAAGGAATACAATCACCTTTGTATCCTTGTTTTCACTGTTGTAAATCAGCAGCTATGCCAGAAAACAGGGATTATCAAGGAAATACATTAATCCTATTAATGCAGAAGTGTGTTACAGTAGAAGTCAGGGTCTGTGCCTGACAGTCACCTGAGCTGGATATGACAGAATGGGTTTTGTTGTCATATGATTTTTATTTCAGGTTGGTTTCTTCATGAATCCCTTGGGGATTTTCATTCTTGTAGCTCTGTAGTGAGCAGGGAGGTGGACTCTGTGCCTCTTCTGCCCTTGTATATTGTCCCAAAAGAGACACAAATGTTCTGGCATCCATTAATTATTAAATGTGCTTCTGTGGTATGCAGGGCACATAGAGAAATTATCAGGAGAAGAATGAAAACAAATCAGGTCATTTGCTGCTTTTGCTATTCTTTCAATCAGCTTACAATCACTTAAACATAGCAAGAATAAAATCTGGTCAGCCACATAGGTTTCTGTCATTTTTGTTTTTGTCTTGCTGACAGTACAAAGGTCATGGGTCATTTCCTCCTCTCAAATGTTCTGAAGGGGATGTAATTATCGAAAGAAAGGTGACTATTCTAGCTCAATAGTCAGTGGCGTTAACAGAAACTGACAGCAGCATTTAAAGTTTTTCTGCATCACACATCTGAGTGGCCACAGTTACCTGTAATAGTACTGTCTCTTATGATTTACTACCTACTTGGTGTCACTAAAACTGACTATGCCTCCTATTAGCTCTTCATTATTCAGGCTCTTCCTCACCAGGCTCCACAGCTGTCTACACTCTCTGCCCTCTCATTGGCTCCCAGATGCTTAATGCCATCAAGAATCTCATGATATGAATTAACCCAAACAAAGGATTTTCTCATGCCTGACAACAGTTTAGCAGTTTGAGAGCCCCTCCGAGATGTCAGACACATGACCCTGCAGCACGAAGATTGAGTTGAATATCAGTGGTTATGAAATTATAACTGAATGCCAAATCATCCCATGCACTGCAGACATGGTTTATATTGTAAGTCTTATGTTTGTATGCTAAGAGAAAACATCTGACTGTAAACAGGAGGGAAGAGCAGCACGGGACCTCATGTATGTGTTTCGTTTGTCTTGCAGAACGGCGTTGTGCATCGAGACCTCAAGCTGGAGAACATTCTTTTAGATCAAGATTTGAATGTAAAGGTAATCTGCCAGTGCATCAGTGAATCCCTGATTAAAATACAACTACTGAAATTATACATGCTACCGGACTTTGTCAGCTGGTTCACTCATTAGACAACAGTGCAGAGTAACACTTGACCGTAGCTTTGACACTACCAGATAATTTTGCCATTCAGACCAATTTCATTTTCTTCTTACATGAAAATATCACAAAAATCTCAAAAGGTGGTTTGAGATTTTTGCCCCTGCAAAACATGAACAACAGTCTGTAGTCAGTGGCTTCTCACAACAGCCCATGTAAATCCAAGGCACATGTATAGGAGTATGTATATTTGGAAGAGTGTGTGTACTGTAATAATGCAAACATTCAACACTGAGGCATGCCTCTGCTGAACACTGTAAAGAGTAAAGGAACCTTACACAGATGTACACTGCATGAATGCCCATACAAACACACAGTAGCACGTGGAAGGTTAAACTGTATACACATCATTAATGCTACTATAAGTATAACTTCATATATGTGAGTTGGCTTGAGTGCACAGTGTTGTCGTCCATATGTGAGGCCTCTGTTTCCCTGTACCTCTGCTCCATGGATGTAAAGCTGTCCTGTTGACTATTTTTAACACCAGAGGGCTGATAGGGGGCTGGTGTGCATGTTAATAATCTCTTCAGGTGGAGAGGAGCCTCAGTATGTCTGCGTATGGCTCTTGCAGCCAGTGAGTGATTGTTCCATTACATGAGAATAAGCAGCCTGATGTTTTTTTGCCCTCTTGTCTTTCTCACTCACACTTACTTTGGCAAAAGCTCAGCATGCCTATTTCTGGCTCCTCTTAAAAGGAAATGTTTTGAGGTATTGTGTTTTTGCCACATGACTAAAGGTTTGCAGTGCATACTCAGTGAGCAGGAATCCAGATTGCGTGAGACTGAGTTTAAGTGTTGAGGTGAATGGGTGGAGTCTTGGAATATTTTTGCCTATTTTGGCAGATTTTTAATCATTTTGATTTTACTTTTATATACCACATGAAAGTATGTTTAACATGCCAGTGTTTGGTATACTTTTCATCAGTACAACCTCATTTTTTGACCTGACAGTTATTTGTACTTTTTATATAACAGTAAGTTGCTTTTTTTTTTTTACATATTTTTCAAGGTTTTGTTTCTTTTTTTCTTTCTTTCTTTATTTATTTGACAAATGTTAATGTTTAAGGTTTCATTTAATATGTATTGCCTGCTTTAGTGGTCCTTTTTTCAGTTGCATCACTTTTGGCTGGTCTTTTATTTATTAAGAGACTGACTGTATTAAATAATTCCTAAGGGTTTCTAAGCTACACTAATGTTGGCTTAGAATACATGTTAGTGGAGCAGTAGCAGCATTACAGGTAGAAGGAACACAAATAAATATCATCAAAATGTATTCATTTGTGTTCTGTCTTTCCACAGCTGGCTGACTTTGGCCTTTCCAGTCATTTCCAGAACGGCACTTTGCTGCAGACCTATTGTGGAAGTCCACTCTATGCTGCGCCAGAGATAATGAAAGGACTGCCCTACCAGGGTCCAGAGGTGGGTCAACATGCTGGATTACGAAATTGTTTCCAGACATTTTGGGTTTTCAGTTACATCATAGTGAATCACTGAATTCAAACACAGAACTCATGGTGCACGGAATGATGCACCAAAATCTGTTTAAAATCCGCTAAATGTAATGCTGTTACTGGCAAAACTGAGATGGCATCACCTGTTACTTGCACCACATCTGGTTATTTTTTGTTTTTTACAACAGTATTATTTTAATTTCTTTGGTCACTTGGAAGCAGAACAGGTTTAAAACAAAACGGACATATTGTCACTTGATAAAGTTGGTGTATCTGATATATGGCAAACAGCCACCCAGTCTGCACATCCAACAGACACAGAGCAGCATTAGCATTCACCTGGACTCATGGTTCTGGCCACCCAGCAAATTTTGTTCTCCTTTTAGCTCTGTTTTGGTCTGTACCAAGTCCTAAGGCAAATATCTGGCCCTTTAGCTGTTAAATGCTCTACTGTGTCCATCAGCTAGTCATTACATTTGTCTGTCTGCTGTCTGGTGGGCAGGTAGTGTACAGTGGGTCTGTCTCTTTTATTGAAAACAGCTGCCAACTATGGTTGGATACTGGCCTGAGAGGGGCCATAAAACCAAAACTGCTGAAAGATGGCAAAATTCTGCAAAGAGCTGAGAGGACCTAACAAGCTGGGTGACATTTCTCTGTGGGCTCATCACTATGAGTGAGTCCTTTCACATCACACACTCCCATTTGAAAGGGAACTGCATTTTATAAAGTTTGTTGACAGGTCTTGGGAAGTACTACTGCATAAGTGGGGACAAAGCTGTATAAAGCTTTCTGTGGCTCCAGAGGAAATTGTGTGAAATCTGATAAATTGCCTCAAGTGATATCACTTGAGCCAGCATCGGTTGGGGCTGAAGATAACAAGTTAGAACATTTTAAGTTAGTTTGAAGTTTGAAAGTGACCTCTGTAGGCTGCTCTTCATTTCTGCTATAGGCTAGCAGCTCGAAGCTACATTAGCTGCTACTAGCATCATACCCCCTAAATATCAAACTTGACAGTAGCCAAGTTGCATTAGGGGTAATATGACCCTGGGCAAGAGGCGGGGTCCACACTGGACAGGTCAGCAGTGTATCACAGGGCTGACATGTAGACAAACAGAGTTAAACTGTCCATCGTGTCCCTGACAATGTTATAAGAGTGTGATGCCAAACTGGTGGAATATTCATATATTAGCTACAATATATAGAAGTATATTTGGATTAGTGCAGCTGTAAATCACCGACAGAGAAACCAGAGTAACTGGGTTCGAAATATTAGATTTTGTAAAAATGAATGTCTTAAAATGAAAAGACTCATATATTTAAATGTTATGTTAAAAACATATCAAATCATTTCCTAGCCTATAATATGAACTCAAAGCCTGAATCTAATGAGTTTTGTGATGTCCTTCGTTATCTGTGTTGGTGTGTGCTAGGTGGACTGCTGGGCACTGGGGGTGTTGCTGTATGCCCTGGTGTACAGCTGCATGCCGTTTGATGGGGCCAGTCACACCATGCTCATTGAACAGATCTGCCAAGGCTGCTACCACAGACCCGACCCCCCCTCAGGTAAACCTTTACAGTTTATGTCTCTGTTACATTTCTCATTAGCAGCTTGCCCAGTGTGATTGCTTTGTGTGTTCTTACTAGTATCCTGTTAATTACATTGTGTTAGTCAGTTTGGCTGCTATAAATAAATGTTGTTGCTGTTCCCTCCAGATGCCTGCGCTCTTATCGACTGGCTGTTGACAGTGCGTGTGGACGAGAGAGCTACGATAGAGGATGTGGCCAACCACTGGTGGGTGAACTGGGGTTATGAAGAGAGTGTGTGCGACTGCCCTTCATCTTCACACCAAGAATGCCCCTCCCCCTTGCTGGCTCGCTACATTGACTGGCAGAATCAGATCGCTGCTGACTGCAACGTGACTGTTGACCCAGGGCCCCTATCCTCAGATTCCTCCTGTCCGCCTCAGCTCTTTCCCCACCCATTTTACTTCAGCTTACCTTTGAGGAGCAGTCATGGAGGAGGAGGAGGAGGAATGTCAAGCCTCAGGAAGTCACGCAAAGAGAATGCAATTCCCCAGACTGCACTGGGAACTTGTGGTGGTGGCTCCTCTGCTGCAATTCCCTCCACTACCACTACTGAAAGAAAGAAACCCAAAGGTATTCTGAAACCCCAGAGGAGTTTTGACTCACTCTTTCACAGCCCTTCTAAAGAAAACTCTCCATCCCAACCATGTAATGCTGCTGTCCAGTCTTATGGAGCACATGCACTTGCTCACACACATGCTGAAGTCTTCTCCACCAGTCTACCACTTCCCTCTACATTCACTCAGCCCTCATTCAAAATGCCCAAGAAGGGGATACTAAAGAACTTCTATGGAGGGGAGTCAGGTGATGGCTCATCATCAGAGAGAATGGGCTCTGGAGTGGGAATTAAAGAGAGTGATGCAGGTAATTTGTGCTCCCACAAACACCACAGCTGTCTGCCAGCAGTAGAAGATAGTCCCACCATGCACACAGAGGCAGTAAGAAGGAGGAAGGGTATTCTGAAGCGTAACGGCAAGTTCTCTCGCAGTCTGGATCTTCCTGATGAGCGCCACTCATCTCCCTCTTCAGCCTGCTCAGTATTCCCAGAGACTCTGCAGCAGCTTCTCCAGGCCACAGTGGGCCAGCACAGCCGCCCCTCCAGTGTGATGAGCGAAGACAGCCTCTTCTCCTCTGATTCCTTTGAGCTGCTGGACCTCAGCACCCAGTCACATCATAAGATTTTCTCACGAGGGATGCAGCACAGCGCCTGCAGCTCAGAGGAGGATCTAGTTGTATGTAGCTCCATGAATCAAGATGTCACACTTTTGACATCCTAAACTGTCACACATGTGCAGATACAACTGAAATATGTGTCACGTGTGCTCAAGAATAACAACATTTGTGTGACAGTCAAATCCTGCAAATCCCTTAAAACTGCTCGGTTATGTTCCTTCCAGTTTGGCTTGGTCAGAAGCTTCTCCATAAGTGTCAAATTTTAAATGTCCTCATCTTTCCGCTGCTGACAGTTGCTGTTGTTGTTCTCCTCTATATTTATCTTTACCAGTTTGTGAGGGGCCGACAGTGTATGATCACAACAGGCAATATGTGAAAAACACAAAACATGAATCCTGATCTGATCATTCTCACAAACGCCACACAGTCAGAGATTGGATATGTATCAGATCTAGGACCACATCTGCAAGTGATCAGATCTTATATGGAATGAATTCGATTTCTTTAGTTTGAACATCCGTGAAAAGATGTGAGTCACTTCTGCAGGTTATGTGAATGTAGCTATAAACAGATCTATTGTGAGGCTAAATTCTACTAAACTGTTGTGATACTTCACGCTTAAGAACTAAACAAACATTTTATAAATGGTTTACAAGTCACTAAAATGTAGGAAGCAGATAAAAGAATGTTTTAGTGTTTATTAATGTATAGGTTTAGCCAGTAATTACAGCTACTTCTATAAAGTTCTGTAAATTACAACTGCGTTTAATTTGTTGTCATTTATTGTGTTCAACCACATTATAGTGTGTTTTAAGCAATGTATTAAATGTTTAAATACTGCCTGTGAATGCTTTTTAGGAGGGTTAAAGTGTTCCCTCTTTCACTACATCTTTCATCATATTTGTACTAGACAGTATTGTACAGAGCAGTTTGACCCTTTGCACCAACAGAGGCAGCGTGAACACTATGGATCACATTGTGTTTTACTATGACACCGCCAGCACTGCTGTGGATGTTTAAACAGGTCATGTATGCAGCACATGTGAGCAGTTTTAAATATGTAATTGTAATATGTAATTTTCATGCTGTTGGAAAGGAATTCTATGATTCTGTTGTTCAAGTATTTCATACTTAAAAAAAACAAACAAATTCTGTTAATTTTACTACTTTGCTTTTGTCTTTTGTCTGATGAGAGAAAGTAGCAGAAGAGACTAAAGATAAATATTACAAAGCACACACTGTACAGTGGAAAAGGACATTTTAAAGACAAATAATTCTTATTATAAATGTTCCCTATGTCCTAATGCTAAGGACGTTTTCTTGTGACACTACAGAGAATTCAAGAAACATTGCTTATGACAGACAATAAAAAATCTATTTAATTCATTTCCAGTCTCCACAAACAGAGCTCTATTTCAAACTGGTTTCATTATGGTTCATGTGCTTAAATAAAAATACATTAGAAAAGACACGGTAGAAGAAATCAAAATGTTAATGAACTATGTTCATTTGAGGGTTAGGTTTATATTTGATTTGATCATTTTGTACAAAGAAAAGGGATTAATACAGTACATGTTGAAAAAAGGGAGCAATGGAACACTGACTTGTGCTTTCCCTTGCTTCCTTTATTGGCTTTTACTACATACTTTTCTAAACAAAGTCCTGCAGGGCCCTTGTCTGTCTCATGGAGAGAGCCCATCATCACTGTCTGGTAAAAACCACATACTGTATGTCCAGATTTGGGGACACTTTCAGGGTTTGTACTTTTTTTTTGAACATCGAACCTCTTTGGCTCATGAAATGCCTTCAAAAGTTATTAAGTATTTTTAAAAATCTACATGTACCTTATTTAAAAAGGTTGGAAAGTTAAAGTCTGCCCTGTGGAGGTTGATTGTAGGGGATTTGTAGCCAAGACAGCTGTCTGTCTGCTAGGTGAGTTAAAACTGCAGGGTGGTTCTGGGAGGCTGGAACACACTGTTGAGCCTTCTCGGAGTCATGGGTCCTACTCAGTGAAACACCAGTTAGTGAGAGGATGCCCACCTGATGACCCTGTAGACTTGCCTTCACTCCTACACCCACACAGAACTTGTGTTGGTGATAATATAGTTACTTTTATTAGCACAAAAATTAAGACAAAAAAGAAATCAGTAGTTGTGCTCATGATGCAGCAAAGCACAGTTTATTGGAGCATTTATTGTGAAGCAATGTGAACATTAAAGAACTGAGCAACAGTGTCATCTCATGGCCATTTGATGTAGTTAGCACAAACTGTCACCTTGCTGGTAGAACAGGTGGAAAAATGCACTCTGCTGGCATTTTATCAGGTACAGCTAGCTAAAACTAATGCAGTCCAATACATTAACAATATATCCTCCCTCCAGGAAGGTTGTAATGTTCAGTGTTTGTTTTTTAAAAAGTGTTGACTGAACAGTATATTCATTTTGGAAGATGCCTGTGGTGCTTTTGAGTTACAGTATATTACATTCTACTGGGAAATATGATGATCATAAAGGTAGAAACGCTTGTTTAGGAAATGAGAGTGCATTTTACTGGTACTTTTTTTTACACTATTTTTGTTTTAACTTGAAAAATTACAGTGTCACAGAAATATAAAAAAGCTCCATGCTGAAATGAAATTTTCGAACATTTTCATGTGATAGTGAAATGATTTTTAAACTTTTTTTTGTTTACCCAAAGCAAAAAAGAAAAACTCAGTGGTAGCTCCACACATGCTGTTTTATCATTTTCTCTAGGCAACTTGCTACATGACAATCTACACTGTCTCAGGAGGGTGTGCCAGGTAACAAGACAAGGTCATTTGAAATGTACCTAAACATCCATCACACTACTATTGTAATAATTACTAAGGGTGTGATAACAGACAAACAGAGGTGTAGGCTGAGATTGACATGCAGTTTATTTAAGAGCTAGGAAAGGGAATATGTGTGTGTGTCACTGGTTGTTGCTGAGTGCAGGGAGGATGCTGTGGTTATAGTTTGAAAATAATAGCAATGTCACAGAAATATCAAAAAAGTTGCATTCCAAGTTGATCATTTCTATCACTTCATGTGATAATAAAATGGTTTTTAACCAATTCTTTTTTTACAAAGAGCAAAAAAGGGAAACTCAGTGGGAGCTCCACACATGCT